CCATTGATTGCTTATTAGTTGCAAAACGGAAAAATAATTACACAGCGGAGAAGTTGGTTAAACCTTGACTGAGTGATCAAAATTAGTATCACTGATGAGATAGATGGATGCTGTATGAATCCAGAGTGACACCTTCAGAGTACATCATCTATAGAGTATACCTGCCAAGACTACATAACCCCCATATAATCATGAGGCAACATCAAGAAAACACATGGGTTAGAGCTGTATTATTTATAAACATTTCAGACTAAAGGAGGCTAAAAAGATATGACAGTAAAACTCAACACCAAACTCTAGACTGGATTCTGCACTATAGGTGAAAAATTCTATGTGGGATATTATTAGGTCAATTGACAAAACTGGAACATGGACAATTGATGCAACAAAAGTACTGCATCAGGATAAATTTGTGAGTTTAGTTAACTGTACTGTGGCTATATAATATATAACCCTAATGTATTTTTAAGAAATACACAATGAAATACTATATCTAGGAGTAAAGGGTGATGATGTTTATAACACCCTAAGATGACTCACAAAAACAAACTGTTTGTGTGTATGTATCCACATATACACATAAAGACACACACATAGAGGCATATATACATGTGTGCTTGGTTGTGTCTGATGCTTTGTGACTCCATGGACTGTAGCCTGCCAGGCTCCTCTCTCCATGGAATTTTCCAGGCAAGAATACTGGAGTGGGTTGCCATTTCCTATTTCAGGGGATCTTCCTGACCCAGGGATCAAACCTGAGTCCCTTGCATCTCCTGCACCGGCAGGTGGGTTCTTTACCACTGCTCCAACCTGGGAAGCCATACATACACACACACACAAATATATACATGTACACACACACACATATATACATATATACACACACATATACATACCCATACATGAACACACATTGGGGAGAGACTACAAATGACAAAATAAATTGGGTAAAATGTTAACAATAAGTGAATCTGGGTAAAGGATATTTTGATGTTTTTTGTACTATTTTTGTAACATAAATTTGAGATTATTTCCAAATAGCAAAAAAGAGACTAAGACAAAGCTTAATAATTTTCTAAAAACTAAATTAACAGGAAAACAGACAAGAGGATATGAATGAATAAACAAACAGAAATTTTATTTAATATTACATTTCATATATTAAATTTTATTTTATTTAGGTTTGGGTTTTTATGTACCTATAGTCTCTGGAATGAAATTGGTAAAAAGATACCTCTATATTAAGAAAAGCGATGTCTTATTTCATTAAAAAAATAAGTTACAATAACTTAGGGAAAAATGGGCAACTAAAATGGTTTACTTTCTCAAAGGCAGCATGTGTTTATTCATTGGGTTTAGAAGGAAAGAAGTATTCGATGAAGTTCAAGTTTAGACTAATTTTCTGCAAAGCACACCAGTTATTTAACATAACAAACTTTTTAACCCATTTTTAAAAAAACTGTGAAGTAAGATGTTGCTTTAACTTTAAAAAAATTCATAATGTTTTCGGGGGTCAGTTAAAGTCATAAATTAATTTTTTGAAAGTACTATTTTGGAAGTGTTAGATTTCGAAATCATCCTCTATTAATGATCTCTCTCCTCCGTCCTCTCTTTTCTATTCCTACTGCTCTTTTTCTTGTCCACTGTGGCATTACTGTTTCCATTGTCTATTCTTATTGGTTCCCTTGATGTTAATTCCTGCTCATATGCTAGTGGAAGAGTATTCTACTTAAGGAATAAATAAAATCACTTATTCCCGCGCTTAAATGTTGTTGCTTCTTCAAATTGCCTATTCTTTGGTCCAGCAACCAATAGCCTTTGTGACTACGGCTCCCACCTCCCTCATCTTTCACCACTNATCCCTGAGTTGGGAAGATCCCCTGGAGAAGGAAATGGCAACCCATTCCAGTATTCATGCCTGGAAAATCCCATGGACCGAGGAGCCTGGTGGGCTACAGTCCATGGGGTTGCAAAAAGTCGTACACGACTGCATGACTTCACTAACTCTGTGTCTAACTTCATAGCATTCTCATGGCTAACAAATATGTATTGATACGGAAATTTATTCAGTGATTCTGACAGGGAAAAATCAAGAAAAGGTAATGGGAAGGTAAAGGAACAGGCTGGAATCAAGCCTTGTCTTCACTGCTAACTGGCAATATGATTTTAGGTTTACAGGCTTCAGTTTTGTCAATTATAATATCAGGATAATAGCAGTGTTTACCTTAAAAGATAGTTGTGAGACTTTAATGAGATAATTTATGTAAAGATATTAGAACAATAAGGCTTCCCAGGTGGCACAGTGGTAAAAAATTCACCTGCCAATGCAGGAGATGTAGGAGACAGAGGTTCAATCCCTGGGTTGGCAAGATCCCTTGGAATAGGAAATGGCAACCCACTCCACTATACTTGCCTGGAAAATTCCATGGACAGAGGAGTCTGGCGGGTTAGTCCATGGGGTCACAATAAGAGTCAGACATGACTGAGCGCACGCATGCGCACATATTAGAACAATGCCTAGCATGTGCTCATTGTTTCATATCATTATTATTAGTGTTCTGATTGATAACGATCACTGTTTGAAATTCTGAAGACCTCAAAATTGACCTAGTAGTATTTCTGATGATTTTTTTTAACGGAGAAGTAATTTCAAAATATGTTAACTTCAGGATGCAGATGAACTTCAACTGTTTAACATACATTTATCAAAAACTAAACAAAAACAAGTAGTCAAGATAAATATGCTCTAAATTCATGGGATTTTAAATATGACTTTAAATTTATACTAAAACATATACATATGTTAGTTATAAGATAGAGTAACACTATCTTGTTTTTACTTTATCCTCTCATTAACCCTGTTCAAGAGTCAGTGGTTTTTGTTTTTACATTGTTTGGCAAATAATAATCCATTTATAGTATACTTGCTAACATACCTTCTACTAACTGATATTTACATTTAATCTGAGCTTTTATGTCTTATATTGGATAACAGAATCAGTTTCAGTTCTTAATAATATGGTACAAAATTACATTAATAATTATAACAAATAATAACTAATAACTAAATAACAACATAAAGGACTACCATGAAATCATTAGCTACAGGCATGTATCTATATAGTACATGGAAAGCTATTTACAATATGTCAAGTTAAAAAAAGGAAATAAAATTGCATGCATAGAATTGAGTCGTTTAAGATTTGTCTATAGATATTTATATATATTAAAAAATTAAATACTCACAAAATGTTAACAGTATTTTTATTTTTTATATCAAATATCTGTTTTACAAAAATATAGTAAATCTACTTTCATTAAGAAAATAATGGAGAAGAAAATTAAGATAGACTTTTAAATGAAGTTTCAGAATCTGATATACTTACTTTACAACTTTGCCATACTTGGAAAATATCTGAAACAAAAGACCACATAATGATTTGCAATCAATTTAAAATCATAAAAAACACATTAAGTTTTCAGGCTGTATATACTGACCACATCCTTTATTGTAGTTTACGAAAATTTTTAGCCTCTAGTAAGTAAGGCAGGCCATAGAAGATATATTTTTTAGTGACTCGAATAATACTCTTTTTTGTCTATTGGCATCACAGGTATTTATTTACCTTAATTCTTAGATTTCTGACCAAAGAGTATAAGGGAAAAAAAAAACCACTCTTCATGTGTGGTAGGTTGAAGGCACACACCACACAGCTACAGTTCCTAAGGTATATCCCTGACAACTGTCAACCCCACCAGAGCTCCAGAGAAACCCTGTGCTTTAATTATCAATGTTGTAGAATATCACTGTTCCTAACTTACTCCGCCACCCCATCAAGCAATCACTATGTCAGAAGACAGATCTTTACTTAGACTGCTTATAAAATAAAAAGTTTCTATATTGAAAAAATCGATTCCCATCAGCCTACTTCTTCTGCCCACCCTAATATATTGGTGGCACTTTACAGTTGGCCCTTCCTTCCCTTTTACATCTACATCTTCACTCTAGGCAATCTTATCTATTTCTACTGCTTCAGCCAGTACTTATATACTGATAGCTCCTGTTTATAACACTTTGTAGAAGAGTCTTTTACGATACATTAATATCTGTAAGAAATAGCAGTAATAAATGTTTGAATTCTATAATTGTCTAACCCTGGGGCTCCCTGAGCGGCTCAGGTGAAGAACCTGCTTGCAATACAGGAGACCCAGGTTTGACCTCTGGGTCCAGAAGATCCCCTGAAGAAAGGAATGGCTGGCTACTTACTCTAGTATTCTTGCCTGCCTGGAGAATTCCATGCACAAAGGAACCTGGTGGGCTATAGTCCATGGGTTGCAAAGAGTTGGACAAGACTGAGTGACTAAAACTTCCACTTCAACCCTGGAACACAGTATAACTAGATTGCAGTGTTAGTAATACTGGAGATTTATAATAAAGACAGTTTTCTTTTTTTTTTTGTGGTTTGCTTTTCATTTTCTTTCTTTAAAAAATTAATTTATTAAAGGATAGTTGATTTACAATGTTAAGTTTCTGGTGGACAGCAAAGTGATGCATGTGTGTATATATATATATACATACATATATATGCATGTATGCGCGTGCGCACACACACACACACACACACATTCTTCTCCATTTAGGTCTATTACAGGATATTGAATAGAGTTTCCTGTACTGTACAGTTAAGACCTTGTTGTTTATCCATTCTATATATAGTGGTTTGTATCTGCTAGTCTCAAATTACCAGTCAATCCCTTCTTGGCTTTGGCAACCATTAAGTTTGTTCTCTATGTCTGTGAGTCTGCTTTTGTTCCGTAGGTGAAGTTCATTTGTGTCATATTTAGATTCTAAATGTAAGTGAAATTTTATGGTATTTGTCTTTCTCTTCCTAATTTACTTCACTTAGTAGCATCTCTAGGGTCATCCATGTTGCTGCAAATGGCACTGTTTTATTCTTTTCATGGTTGAGTAGTATTCCACACACACACACACACACACACACACACACCCCTCACATCTTCATCTATTTATCTGTTGATAGACATGTAGATTGTTTCCATGTCTTGGCTATAGGTAATAGTACTGCTATGAACATAGAGGTGCATATATTTTTTCAAACTATAGTCTTGTATGGATATATACTCAGCACTGGGATTGTGGGATCCCTATGGTAACTCTTATTTTCAGTTTTTTGAAAATGAAAGTGAAGTTGTTCAGTCGCATCCGACTTTTTGAGACCCCGTGGACTGTAGCCCGCCAGGCTCCTCCGTCCATGGGATTCTCCAGGCAAGAATACTGGAGTGGGTTGCTATTTTCTTCTCCAGGAGTTCTTCTCGACCCAGGGATCGAACCCAGGTCTCCCGCATTGCAGGCAGATGCTTTAACCTCTGAGCCAGCAGGGAAGCCCAAGAATATACTATAGTCAACTGCCCCAGGCACCACTGGGATACGTCCATACTGTTTTTCATAGTAGCTACACCAATTTACATTCCCACCAATGATGTAGGAGGGTTCTTTTTGTTCTACACTCTCTCCAGCATTTACTGTTTGTAGACTTTTTCAGTTCAGTCGCTCAGTTGTGTCCGACTATTTGCGACCCCATGAATCGCAGCACGCCAGGCCTCCCTGTTCATCACCAACTCCCAGAGTTTACTCAAACTCATGTCCATTGAGTNTTATCAAACCCGTGAAGGATAAGGAGGGACACCACGTTCAGGGGCCACCAGGAGCCAAGCTCCATAACAAGGACTTCATTTGGCCCTCACAGTAAATCTGCCAGGTAGTTATTTGTACAGATGAAAAGAAGGCTCAGAGCAGGCACATTACCTTCCTAAGAAGATGATGATGACGGTGGGGCCAAGCATGTTTTTAAAAAGTATTTTTGGGCTATTTTGCAAAGCTGGGGGGTTCACAGTTTGTTCCTGAAAAAGAGACCTTGTTTCGGGAGCAGGTTTGGTGGCAAGGCAGGTTTTAGAGCAGGTTGGGAGGTGTGAATCAGTCAGCGAACCAAATATTATTTAAAGGTCTTTGGGGTATTTCCAGATTTCAGACATCACCGAAATTTTAAGTCCCTCTAGAGGAAAGTGGAATTTCTCCTTTGAATAAAGCCTCTGCCCTCAGAATATAGGTGAGTCATCTTGCATCTCTGGCTCCTGTGCTTTAGAACACTTCACTCGGTTCATATTCCGGAATAGCTGCTCAACAATGCTCTCCGTCAGCATTCCGAGGGAGGGCGAAGAAGGAAGCTGGAGATGAGAAGGGGCAGTGCAGGACGGGTGGAGTAGCTGGGACATGTGGCGCCTGGCAAACACTTGTCTAGGAAGGATCTGAGGCTGTTTTGACTGCTAATCCAAGACTTTAGAAGTCAGGCAATATGACCCAAGAAAAAAGAGAAGCAAGCGAGTCCTAGGGCTATGGTGGTGGTTCAGTCGCTCAGTCACGTCCAGCTCTTGCCACCCCATGGACTGTAGCCCGCCACGTTCCTCTGTCCATGGAATTCTCTAGGCAAAGAATACTTGAGTGGGAAGAATCCTAGAGCTATAGGCTGAACCTATTCATGTTGACTCAGTAATGATGAATCAGAAAGGAAAGAGATGTCGTGTCCCTCCCAGCAGTCAGCTGGACAACAGGGCAGAGGGTGCGATGGTACAAAGTAGGTGAAATGTAAGCTGTGATGGATTGACCTTTAGCTTCCTACATGGCAGAGCTGACTTCAAAGTTTTCCCTTCCACTGAGATGTGAAAAGGAAGGGACAAAGTTCCCTCAACTCGACAAAGTTGCCCTGATTGACTTCTGATTATCAGAATTCCATACCCACCTTTTCCTTGGTTATCTGATGTTCCAAAAGGTTAATGGCACTCAGAGTGCACCTTCAGGCGAGCGCTCCTAGGTTCCCAGGCCAGCTCCGTTCCGAAGGCCTTTGAGATGATTGTGAATATTGTTGAGCACTTCCCATGGGGCCCCACTGGGCTGAACTGTCTGCAGTACTTCATTTCATCTTACAGCAGTCCAATGAAGAGGTTGTTATCATTTTGCAGAAGAGGGAAGACTAAGGGAGGTCAAGTTAACTCACCCAGGGCACGTGGCTAAGAGTTGGGAAAGTCTTAAAGGCAGATTTTGAGTTCAGGTAGTCTTGAGTCCATAGCGCAAGTACATTGATTGAGGATGACTCATTCCATGTACTCATTCCATGGTGTTGGCGAAGACTCTTGAGAGTCCCTTGGACTGCAAGGAGATACAACCAGTCCATCCTAAAGTAGATCAGTTCTGAATATTCATTGGAAGGACTGATGCTGAAGCTCCAATACTTTGGCCACCTGATTCAAAAAAATGACTCATTTGAAAAAACTCTGATGCTAGGAAAGACTGAAGGTGGGAGAAGGGGACGACAGAGGATGAGATGGTTGGATGGCTACAATGACCGAACGGACATGAGTTTGAGTAAACTCCAGGTGTTGGTGATGAATAGGGAGGCCTGGTGTGCTGCAGTCCAAGAGGTCACAAAGAGTCGGACACGACTGAGCAACTGAACTGAAATGAGGTATCACCTATGCAGCATCTCTCTACTGTAGTTAACATCTACCCAAAATAGCAGAGAAAAGAGGGCACACTTGGAGGATAGGACTCATGTCATCCCTGGAAATCCCTCTCAACCATCAATCTGCAGAATAGACAAAGCAGGAAATTTTGTTCTCTGTAAGGTAAGGAGGATAAAGAATATGTTGGAAAGGATTTCTTTTTCTCTTTTCATCACCCTATTGTGAATTGAAAACAAACTTTATTAAACTGTTAAGTTCTTGCTACATATTAAATTAAGATATACTTTCAGAATTGGAGAGTTAGGAAAGGGATCTGTTTTGCTTCCATCAGCTCTTTCCTCCAAAACCTCCACCCTACTACCAGTTTCAAAAGTCAAGTTAGCAAGCAGGAAAAATCAGCTTCATTATGCTAGTAGTGTCTTCTGCATTTTTTAAAAACAAAACCAAAAAAAGAAAACAACAAACTTGTTATTCTCTATAAAGCACTGGAAATTTTCTTTGGAAATAACAAACGTCTAATTTTTTTCACTTATGTTTGCAATAGAGGTCTTTGGTATTAATGATCAAAAGTGCATTTTAATGTATTTAGTAAGAATATTGTTTAAGAGAACTGCTTGCTTAAGCCATATTTGTATCTCTAATACAGAATTCAGTAGATAATAGTACTAATATAGCAACTTACCCGATATAAGTCATTGTTGGTCAGGGAAAAGGGCAGATTGGATACATACACTGTGCTTTTACTTGGGGCCAATCCACCACTCATTTCTAAAAAACAAAGAAACAAACCAACCCAGAAGCAATCTAAAACAGGTATTCTCCCTTCCAAATAAAACTTATAGGCAAATGACAAATTTATACAATTTTTCTTACTTCTTAGTAATAGTCAGTGATAGCTTATGGTGAACGATGTCAGATTCATGATCTCCAAAGAAGATTTAGCTTCGGGATCAGGGACAAGGGTTGATCACTTAGAGCTTTTGTGTCACAGAAGTTTTATTACAGTGGAAAAAGTACAGAGAAAGCTTCTGACATAGACATCAGACGGGGGAAGAAGAATGCTCCCCTTGCTAGTTTTATTAAAGCCTCATATACTTTTACCAGACCCACTTCCACAACCTATGTCTTAAGATGACAAGATTAGTCAGAAGGTTCTTGTTAAGAAGGAGAAACATGTCCTTGAGCAAGATACGTTGTTGTTACATAATCATTAGTACAGAGTTTAAGGAAAAGCATACAAATGAATTGTTTTGTTGTGTAAGCATTAGCTCTGGGCTTAAAAAAAGTTAAAGACTGTTGTCATAAAAACCTAGAGTTTAAGGAAAAAAAGTTTTATATGACTAAGACAAAGCAATGTAGAAAAAAGACTTTGTCCTTTTCTCCTCTTCAAGAGCCCTGAGACTCCTTAACCTACCTAAGAATTGGCTCAGGAACAATGACTCTGGCTGGGTGAATTAAGGAATTGCTTTGCTCCAGACACCACTTAAAAGATTCTTTACACTAACCCTTTCAGTGATGGCATATGGTGTGAATGAAGAGGTGAGTTTCAAACAAATGAGGTAAAAACTCTGAGGCTCCTCTTAATCTCTCATCAGGCTAAGAGCAAGACAGTGCTTTCAGATACACTTAATACCTTGCCCACCCACGTGAGAAAAAGCCTGGGAGGGCAGGAAGAACCTTAGCCACTGATTTTCACTGATTTGGCTGGGTGCCTTTTTGATTGTCGTAATATTTTTCTCTGGAGCAGTGCTAAGAAGAAATTTTACCCTCACATTATGATGTAATTAAAGTTCTCTCAAATCACTAATTTCGCATATTATCGCTAAATTATGAAATGATACATTTTATCATTTGAATAATTTTCAGTGTCCTGAAGAGTACTGGCCTGTACATGTATTTTTAAGTTTACAAGTAAAATCTGTAACTCATTTTCATATCGTATATTGCAAAGTCAGCAAGTCATTTGTGAGAGTTATACCAGATTCAACCAAGTTCATATTTTCGATTTAAAAAGCGTGTGTGGTGTGTACTAAAGATCACAAGTTGCAAAATAATGTTTCTAAGGCATCCTTATTCGCGATGTGATAGGAAAATCGCTTGATGATTGGAATGTTCTGGGGGACAACTTCAGGAACCTAGCACGATAGGTCGCTTTTTAAAAGCTTCCAACTGAAACTTTTCACACGTTAGCCGCTCTGATGAGAACGGTGAGGGCAGGTAAAGGTCCTGAGATAAAAAGGGTGGCAGAAGAAAGGGGTAAACGTTTCCGGAACCTTGTTCTGGAAAGCAGCCCGCAAGGAGCAAGGCCGCAACGGGAGAGGCGTTTACCTTCAAGTGGGGCGGGCCCGGAGGATAGGGCCAGAAGAGCGCAAGCCCTCTGCTCACTTGGGGCTCAACCCCGACCGTTCGTCGCTCCTTGCAGCTGCCTCGGCATCACGGATCCCGGGAAGGGTCAGGAGCAGGAGACGAGAAAGTAGATACCGTGCCTCTTCCCGGCTTTCCTTTGACCCAAACCCCGGAGGTGGGCTCAGGGGCGGGCGCTTTTGCTGACGTCTTAGTGTGCGCCGGAAGTGCCTCCCCAGGAGCGCGGCGACGAGTGGACGACTACATTTACGGGATCTCCAGGCGGCCCAGAGTCGGTGAGCGCTTTTTACCTTTACAAGAGGTGGATGGGGACGGGCACGCGGGCTCCTGCACCCGGGAACGGGGAGCGAGCGGGCGGGCGGGCGTTTCCGCCATGGGACCTGGAGTCTCCCGCTGAATTTGAACTGTGCAGGGATTCTGTTCCTGCGGTTGAGGGGGAGAGACGCAGCGGAGTTTGGCATAAAGGAAAGTGTTGAGTCTGTGGTATAATAGGTTCGCTTCTCTTTAGCACCATAATAGGCAAAAAGAGGGCTGAACTAGGTGGCATCGGTGACCCGAGGTCAGTTAGTAAGTCAATAAATTTACTGAATGTGTTCGACGTGCCCAGTTCGCTCATAGGCACTTCGGGAGTTACAACAAAGTGTAAAGCGGCCTTTTTCTGGAGGATCCCTCAGTCTCGTTGGGGAGGCAAGGTCAACTTGGGGACACTCGAATTCACACAAAGACTCATCCTGGGTATTGGTATGGACAACTGTAAAACTTCCTGGCACCTTTTTTCTCCCTATAAATCTGTAATGGGCAAAAACTTTTTTTCTCTAAAGTGGCAGTAAACAGGCCCATCATTCCTACAGAAACACCAGAAAATAATGCAGGGTAGTTTATACTTAACTTCTACCCGCCAGCACACGCACAACCCACTCCCTGAGAGCCTGCGTGCCAGCAGCCTGGAACTCAGAGCCTCTCGTGGAGTCTGCACGATCAATCCAGACCGAAGCTGATGTCTTCTAGAGAGACGGAAGTGCAATGCAGCCAGGGCGTAGCAGAATTTTGTTGCGGCCTCCGCGTCCGCCAGGGGACCGCTGGGACTAATTGTTTTGGCAAACTTGTGACCGGCCAAAACTGCCATGCTTCACATCCCTGTTATCCTTGGTTACCGCCCGAGATGTAAGCCCTTTGGTCTTCTATGCTACACCCTCATACCCCTGCTGCGCTATGCGCCCTCCCTCTCCCTTTATTAGGCTATCACTGCTTCTCCCTCCTTTTCTTCCCACATTTCACCCCTCAACACAGGAACTGTGCTCTCTGAAACCTTTCTTCTCCGCTCAACAAACTCTTTTACATATTCAACCCTCTTCCCACATTTCACCCCTCAACACAGGAACTGTGCTCTCTGAAACCTTTCTTCTCTGCTTCAAGCATATTCAACCTCTTTATGGAAATTTTCTTACATCTCCTGACTCTAATACTTGTTTTTTCCCTCCAGGCCTGTCAGTTGAGCCCTTTCTCTGACCCCTGCATTTGTGGGTGGATCATGTCTCTTGCTTCCCTGGCTTAGGCGGTAAAAAATCTTGCCTGCAATGTGGGAGAACCGGGTTTGATCCCTGGGTTGGGAAGATACACTGGAGAAGGAAATGGCAATTCACTCCAGTATTCTTGCCTGGAAAATCCCATGGACAGAGGAGCCTGGAGGGCTGCAGTTCATGGGGTCGCAAAGAGTCGGACACGACTGAGCAATTAACACTTTTTTTCATGGCTCTAGACATAAACAACTTATTTCAATTTCTAATGCTTTTTTCTTCTGTCAGTGTCTTTGCAAAGTTCTTTTTTCTCTGCCACATTTGATTTTCCTTATCCCACGCCTACCCCTTTCTGGTTGATTCCTACATCTGCTAAAAATCTCAGTTTTAGTCAGTTTCTCTGCATGGTATTCCTCATCTCCTATAGACAGAGTTAAGTACCCTTGCCATGTGCGAAGTGCTCTCTACTTGCCTTTTAGTAGCATTTATCAGATGTATCCTGATTGCTTATCTCTTTGTCTTTGCTACTAAGGTAGGCTTTTGAGGAGGAACTGTATTTGTCTTGTTTACTTCCGTAAATCCAGAGCCTAATAGGCAGTCAAGAATTTCTTGAGTCATTGCAGTTGCTGCAGATACAGTCTCAGAATTCAGGTAGTTGATGTCATCTTCTGATTTTAAAATGTAAAAAAATCTTTCAAAAGGCATCAGCTGCTACTCAGCTACAGCTGCTTTGGCTATGTGACTGTGTGCTCCCATGGTGCCAGAGCATCCAGTTCTTTTCAAGGAAAGTTGGAGATACATTTTCTTAAAGAGGCTATCTCCTACTTTGTAAATGTGGTCAATGGGATAATGTTTTATTAAGAAAAAAGAAACCTGGGCCAAACAAGTCACATGTGGCTTCTTAGTCATTGGTTTGGAATCTGTTTTAAGTGTTGTACGGTTCAGAAGTGGGCTTTCTGGAGAATAATAGAATTTGAACTGGGCCTTGATGGATGTTTGGAAATTGAGTGGGAGAACGAAAAGAAGTATTCCAGTTGGAGAAGTAAGTGTTCTTACTCTAGGGTAGTGTTCATTACTTTGTGACACGGTGAGGAGGCAGACGTGGAGAGAACAGGAGGCTAGGTGAAATAACAGAAGGGGGCATATGAAGGGCAGAGACGTTTGGATTTGTTACACTTAATTAGTAGACTGTTAGGCTTCTTGTTCAGGGAGACTTCAGCTATGAATTTTAGCATGGTTAATTGAGTGTCTGTCATAAGTGTGGAATGGAGGGTAAAAGACAGGAAGGAGGCTGACCAGTTAAGACTGTAACATTTATCCATATGTGAAATGAGGTTTTGATTTGACAGTATTATGCTCAGTCAAACATCTGATAATTTTGCCTATTAATTTCCGTTACTTGTTCACTTACAAGGAACAGTCAAGAAGCTACTACTAAGTATTTAATACTTAAGAAGTTTTCTTAAAACAGTGAAAAGTCAAGTGACATGTGGCACTAGTAGAGAATGCAGCACTTTAACAGTACTGAGTTATCGCGTTCATTATGAAGCAAGCAGCGATCTTTCCTCTAGCTTCTTCGCCTTCAATCCATCCTGCGTAGTTTCAGGTTAATCTTCTGGAATGACATTTTCCTCTCACTTTGTTTCTAGGTTTAAAAGCCTACAGGGAGCTCCTTGTCTAGTTTCTGGCTTTGTTGTGCCGTTTAATGCCTTTGGATTTGTTCTCTCTGCCCATGCCTGTTTGCTCTGTGAAGCAGTGTGGTATGGTGGGAAAGGCTTTGCTTTTAAAGTCATACAGGTCTGAGTCTGATTCTAGGCTCCCTAAGCCTCTGAGATTTGAGCTTTTCAGAGCCTCTGTGTTTTTTTCTGGAATGGGAGGGATAATATCTACTTCAGGGGAGGAAATGAAAGCTTGTTAAGTACCTATGCAGGCTCATTTCTGCTCCTTTGCAAAGCGAATCTTCTGCCCTCATCATTTGTATCTTTCTTAGGCACATTTCCATTCTGTTTTCTCGGATTCTGCCATTTACTGTTGTTCATCCACATTTAAGTGATTTTATATTTGATTATATTTGAATTTTCTTGGCTTTTTAAAATGGCCATTGCCTGTATTTATCTCTCTCTGAGCACTGAGCAGTGATTAATTTCTGTGGATTCTTTGCTTTATTTTGACCATTTTAGTTGACATCCAGTGTTTTTATTTTCCTCATACACTTTATATTCTAAAATTTATTTTTGTTCTAGATGTCTGGAATTTTAAACATTTTCAAGTAGAAATAGTATTATGTAATTTTTAGGCTCAGGTCGACACTTAAAAACTTAACTTAGAATATCAGGAATATGTTTACCTTGCTTTAACATCAATGGATCAGATCCTAAGGTGAAACAAGCTTAAGATTTAAAAAAAAGTCCCAGCCAACTATATAGGGATTTTAGAGAATAAGATGTAAGTATTTTTTGAAGCTCTCTAGATGATCCTCATATGAAGACAGGGTTGAGAATCACTGCTTTAGGTGCTGGAGCTAAAGGATTCTCATTGGTACCATTTGCTCAAAATGAAGTGGCATTAGTGTCATGAGATGTGTGATAAGACTCATAATCTAATAGTGCTCATTGGAAGTTTCCTGAATAACCAAAAGATAAAAGCCAATAATTAGGTTCTCCAGAATAGCTCATGTAGTGGTCATATGAATAATATGTTTATTTGGCCTATATTTAATAAGTACCTCTTGCCTGGAAAATCCCATGGATAGAGGACCCTGGTAGGCTACAGTCCACAGGGTCGCAAAGAGTTGGACACGACTGAGCAACTTCACTTTCTCTTTACTCTGCTAAACAATAGAAGAGAGGTACACAGTCATTGCCTTTGCTGTGGTGTTTAGTTTGGGAGGGAGGAGAGGAAGGAAAGTAAATTGAATATTATATTATATAGTACTAATATAGCAGGGTGCTTTAGGAGGCCTGAAGAAGAAACTCTTCACTCTTTCTGGAGAATATAAGAAAATCTTACATTTTAGCTGAATCCTGAAGAAAGAGTAGAGAGTGAAGACAGATAAGTTGAAGAAAGATATTCTAGGCAGGAGAAAGGCTTGCCATGATCGGGTGATGAGAAATAGTGCCACACTTGCAGAACAAAATGTAGTTTGATATGTCTGGAGGTTCAGGAGACTGGGAATTGGTAAGAGGTGAAGCTGGAGAGAGGATAAAAGTAAAAAAAAAAGCCATTTTCAAGTTTAGGTGGAGGCTTCATTCTTAGGAAATGGGGAGTCACTGAGAGATTTTTAAACTAGTTGTCTTATGGGAACACTCTTGCTGTAGTTGCTGGATGTAGGAGGTGACATCAGAAGCAAGGAGACCAGTGTTTTACTGTTGGGGGGTCCAATGACTAGACTAAAAGGATATGAACAAAGATACTGATAGCTGGGATAGGGAAGGACACGTGCCTTATATATTGAGGTGATAGAAATAATTGGCTTTAGTTAACTGAGATATGAAAAGTTTTGGTTCTTGTGTGACTCAGGTTTCTGATTTGGGCCTTTGTTTATCTGATATGGTGTCACTGACCAAAATGGGGAAGACAGGAGATGAAGCAGGTTTCTGAGTAGTGTGAAGGCATACTGAATTGGAGGTGCTGTGAGATATCCTTTTGAAAGGAAGTGGAGATGTGGGAATCATTTATCTAAAGAGGGCATGTTACCAGCATTAACATATTTTCTATGGATACTGAACACATACATTGTATGGATTGTTCTAGGTGCT